AAAGGATTAAACTATATTAGTAAATCTAGAATTTTAATTCAGCCAATAGCTTTCTCCTTCTTTCATACTAAAACATTTCAAATTCTCTGCCAAAAGGATATTAATTTGGCATTCCTTCACTTGATCATAGTAACTCTAAGTTTTTTCAGACTCTGTTGCAGACTTACATCCAGACACTTTTGGTTGTATTCTATTAGATCTAATGCCACCAGTGAATAAATATTAATAGCTTTCCGTTATAGAAATATTCATTCCAATTAGCCATCAGTATATTCTTCTTCCGCTTTTTAAATATCATTCCAATCAGCATCAGTATATTCTTCTGTCTGTTTTCTAACTCTCTTCTTTTCTACAATTTTCTTAGGAATACGAGGCCAGTAATAACGCTTCTCAGTTAGTTTATGTCAATTGATTTTATGGAAATTTTCCATTCTGCGTTTTCTGTAAGAGTAATTAGAACCTTGAACAAAGTGGCTCTAGAGAAACAGATTGGCCTTTCTAAAGATGTAAAAGATGGAAGTGGGCGGCCTGCCTATTGAGATCTTTCTCTCAAGTCTGCTTAAGCTTTTTCTCTCAAGCTGTTAAGCTTCGGTAAGTCAAGAGCCAAAGCTTTGATACTAGATTGTGGGTCCCGTATATGTATGGCACAACCCAAGAGGGGGGTGAATTGAATTTTCTAAAAATATAAATTTAACATTCAAAAACAAAATCAGAATTCTGTTATAGTGAAAATAGAATGCATTTGTGAGAATAAGTTATTAAGATTAGAGCTTCCTCACAAAGGTCTATGTAGAAAATAGAAAGACTTTATAAAAAGCAGCTATTGATTAGAATTGCTTCACAATATCTTAATCAATTTCAAAACTACTTCATGAAGGAAAGTTATTACTTTTTTAAACTACCTCATAAAGTTTAGACAAATATTAAAATAATAAAGTTTAGACAAATATTAAAGAGTATGTAGAGATAGTTATTGAATTTCTAAACTGCTTCACAAAGCTTTAAGTAAACTTAGAAAACTGATTAGAAATCCAAATTGTGAAATATACTGAATATAGAAGAACAGATTAGAACTTGGTATATTCACTATATAGAAGTCCAGAGTTCTAATGTTCAATTAAGATAAAGCTTATTCGTGTTTAGAACAACAAAACAATTAACAACTTATCATTTCTAAAACATTAACATAAGTGTAAATAAAATGGTATCAAACAGAACTTCAGAAAGTAAAAAGATTAACACAGCGATTTATAGTGGTTCGGCACTAACTCGCCTACATTCACTCCCTAAGACTCATCTTGAGATCCTCACTATGTATCTCTTTTTAAGGGCCAAAGAGACAAACCAAACAGTACAAGGGCAATAGATCAATCACCTAGATTACCTCCCACTAGATTTTCCAAAGGTTTTAGTCAACCTCAACCCTTTCTGTTTTTGCAAAGAACAGAAACTCAAATCAAGACATTAGAATCCCACACGAGGAGAAGGTTGCTTGATAACCTATTTCACAATGGCTTTTCACCTAAGCTATTACACAAATATTTTTCAAATAAAAACATGTCTACAATAGATTACAAAATCTATATAGACAGTGAGAAATGTAAATATAAGTACAGGAAAAATAGAAATCAAGATTAAAAAATTGTTTTAAAGACAGAACTGTTTTTCAAAAGAAGTTGTTATAATTTTTCAAAAGAAGTTGTTATAAAATTTTCTTTTCTCTTTTAAAAATAATATGTGAAGTAATAAGATGAAAAGAAATAAGGGGGTTGAGAGTAAGTTTTTTGAGAGATTACAGATTTGATCAATGGACTTATACTCTTATAACAAAAACCCACATATTTACAAGGGAAAGACACCTTTTATAGAGAGGGGTGAAAGTCCTGTTTTAGAAAGTAAAGTCTCTCCTTTTAAATAAAAATATTGACTTTCTAAATTTTTAGAAGATACGGAGATCTTGTTGCCAAAAATTCTAAATTTTTAGAAGATACGGAGATCTTGTTGCCAAAAATTCTTTGAGTCAAAATCTTTTCTTTTAAGGTAAGCGAAATAGAATAAGATTTTAGACTTTCCTCTAAAAATAGTTTTCGAAAATAAATATAAAATTTTTTTAAAAAATGTTTTATTATGGAAAATAATTAAGATAGAATCTCTTTCATTTAGGTAAGTGAATTAAATTTTCGAAAGTGAGAAATTTTGTTACCATAAATGATTAAAAAAAATATCTTTTATTTAGGTAAGAAAATAAAAAAGGATCATGATTTATCTTTTATAAATTAAGGTAATTTCCAAAAATCATGTTGAGAGAGAGACAGAAAAAAAAAATATTTTTGTGCTTATAAAAGAATATTCTCTCTATCCTACAACAAATCCTAATATGCTAACCACTAAAATCTTCAATGGTCTTCATGATCTTCAATTATCCATGAATTTGTTGGAATTTGCCTTGTTTATTATTTTCCATATTTGAACATAAATAAATTTGCATAAAATATTATTAGCACAGATAAAATAATTAAATTTATTTGTTTTGCTTAATCATCAAAATCTTAAGATAAAATTGACACTTGAGCCAACAGTTTAGATTTCAAAAGTTGTCATTATGATTTTAATTATTAAATATTAATTTATGAAAAAAGGAAAAGTAAGTGATTAAAAATTAGAAAATTTGTAAAAAAAAAAAAAAGAAAAAAGAAATAGTCAAAGAGGAGAGTGCCATGTCAAATTTGTAAAGTTTTTTTGTTGCTTCAGGATTATATATCTACTAGATGAATGCTTGCACTTCGCGGGTTATTTATATAATTTATATTATATTAAAAATTATTTATATTATATTAAAATATTATATTTGTCCATGGATTTAAGTTATATTCCACTTTTTCCATTTGTTTATTTTTTATTATCATTTGGATAAATTTTAAAAAATATATGACTATAAGAGTTAAATATGGTGTTAAATTTTGGATAGATAAATGAATTATAAGTTCATTTAACCAAATATTTAAATTTTATTGATAAAACTCTGTAACATAATGAGTTTAAAAGCTCACTAATCTAATACCCATAAATTAAAAAAAAAAAAAGGAGAGAAAAATCACTTATCGATATAATATCTAACAATCACTTATCGATATAATATCTAAACCTAGTAATTTTGATGTTAGCACTTGATATGAGAGACAATTTTCTAATATTATTTCTAATAATTTGAAGTATAAAATGCTTAAAACACCTCTTTAAATATTCTTTCTAACCGAAGGCTTTTCTGCGCAGCAGTTGAAGAACATGGTCGATGGGTGTGTTGCTCTCCTGGATAGGCAATGGGATGTGCGTTTGGCAAAAATTTTCATGGAGGCAAACTTTGTGGTAGATGCTTTAGCTAATGAAGTCATTATTAGTTCCAGGGGTTGCAGGTCCTTCACCTCCCATCTCTTTCGGTTAAGTATTTTCTTGCTACAGATTCTGTGGGGGTTGCATGGCCTCGTGCTAGCTAGTCTTTCCTTTGGATATAAATCCCTCCTGTTTATTTAAAAAAAATAATGCTTAAAACACCTCTTTAAATACTTTTAATATGTCAAGAAATAATGAAACCAAATATTTCATACAATTAAACACAAACATTTCAGTTTTAATATTTAACCTTTTCGAATACTAATAAAAATAATTACAATAAATATTTATAAATTGTGTGAAATATATTATTATTATTATTGAAACATTAATTATATCGTGTAAAGAAATAAATTATAAATTTATAAAGATTTTATTATGAACAAATAAAAATAATCAGCTTTTCATGACAAAATTGTATTTATAATTGCAATTCAACAGTAGACTACTCAAGTACTCTCAATTAAATTAGATCAATTTGTAAATACTAACGTGTCACTTAAATTAGTATTATTTATTTATCTCAATCACTTTAAAAATCATTAATTATTATGAAAGTGTAAAAGTATTAAACAAGGTAATTAGTGTCAAGTTACATAAATTGAATAGACAGTTAATAGTCTAAATGATAGGAGAGCTCCATCTCAGCTTTTTGATTTTTTTTTTAATTCAGGATTATATATATAAATTCAGGATTATTATTATATATATATATATATATATATATATATATATTATATATATATATATATATATATATATATATATATATATATATATCTGTGTGTGTGTTGATTTATTTAAATAGGGATTGACTTACCTAAACCTAGTTTATGGAGCACTTATGATCAAACTAGTGAAAAATAATTTTTTTTTATAAAAATATATATCTGTGTGTGTGTTGATTATTAAATAGGGATTGACTTACCTAAACCTAGTTTATGGAGCACTTATGATCAAACTAGTGAAAAATAATTTTTTTTTTATAAAAATAAATATATTTGTAACCATTCATTGGAAAAAAAATAAAGTGCAAATAATTTTTAAAAATCTCCATTTTGATTGGTTTTCGTCTACAAGTGAACCAATAGATAGGATTAGGCAAGTTTAATCCTATTAAACATTTTAATTTAACAAATTACATTAATTTAATGGTTAATCAGTGGATAGTTAAAATTAGAAAAATGTTTGTTCAATAATTTATATTAAAAATATATCAAAATCATATTTATTGAATATTTTATGAGTAATTAGTAGAACTCTAAACTTATATTCAATACATAAAAATGTTACATTTTAAAGTGTTTGTTAGAATTAAACAAGGCCAAAATAATATATATTAAATTGTTTATTAGAATTAATTTAATCTCAAGAATTAAAATTGTATGTCTAAAATATTAGACTGCTCTATGAATGTGTTATTTCTCATAAATATTTTATTATTAATTTTTAATTAGAAAACTGGGATGGTTTAATTAATTAGAATTAAAATATTTTCCTTTGTGGATATTAAAAAAAAGGAAACAAATCACCATTTTCTAGAAAGGAAATGAGCTGTGTACAACAATGACGTAACTACCCTTCGTTCATTCTCCATAAATTATATTTCTATTCATCGTGACATTTGGCCCCATACTTTCATTTCTTCCTTCTGTCAGATAATTTCAGACCTTTGTTTCAATGGATTCATCTTCCTCCTCCAAAGTTGCCTTGGATCTCTCTCCCATGCTCAAAATATACGAAGATGGCCATGTAGAGAGACTCTTAGGCAACGAAACTGTCCCTCCCTCTCTCGATCCCAAAACCCAAGTCCAATCCAAAGACGTTCTCTATTGCCCACAGCATAATCTCTCTTCAAGACTTTACCTTCCAAAACCCTCAACTCCAAACAAGAAACTTCCTTTACTGGTTTATTTTCATGGCGGTGGCTTCTTCATCGAAACCGCCTTTTCTCCTACTTACCATAACTACCTCAACCAATTAGTTGCAGAAGCTAATATCATAGTAGTCTCCGTTGACTATAGGAGGGCGCCGGAGCATCATCTTCCGGCAGCATATGATGATTCTTGGACTGCCCTTAAATGGGTTGCTTCTCATTTTAATGGTAATGGCCCTGAAACTTGGCTAAATGAATATGCTGATCTTGGTAAGGTTTTTCTTGCAGGAGATAGTGCTGGTGCCAACATAGCCCATCATATGGGTATTAGATATGGGCAAGACAAAATTCCTGGTATTAATATTTTAGGTATTGTTTTAATACATCCTTATTTTTGGGGAAAGGAGGCTGTTGGTGATGAGCCTAAGATCTTGGAGATGAGATCAAAGGTTGAAGGGTTCTGGACTTTTGCGAATCCAACATCGAGTGGAGTAGATGACCCTTTGATCAATCCATGTGTAGACCAAAATTTGGGAAAGATTGGGTGTAGGAAGGTGCTTGTCACTGTTGCAGAGAATGACATTTTGAAAAGTAGAGGTTGGTATTATTACGAGAAGTTGAAAGCTAGTGGGTGGGAAGGAGAAGCGGAGATTATGGAGGCTAAAGATGAGAATCATGTGTTTCATTTGTTCAATCCCAGTTGTGAGAATGCTTTTGCTATGCTCAAAAAGGTTTCTTCTTTCTTGAATCAAGCCAATTAAGGCCTCAACGAGGATGCACTTTATCATTTTAAAATTATGTTATCATGTCCTTTTGAATAATACTCTTGTAACGTTGTTATGTAATCAATCATATCGTTTATGAAATGCCGATCCCTTTATTTTGACCAAAAAAAGAAAAAATTGTCACCCTAAATTTCACTTTATGAAATAATGTTATGCCTCTTTACAGTAAAACAATTAATTTTAACGATTTTGAGTTGTATATGATAAAATATTAATTTAGTATATGATTAATGTAACTTTTGGAATAATAAATTTTATATTTTTTAAATATTTAATAAATATTTAATTAATTTAATTTTATGAAATGAGTTTAATAAATCAAATAAAGTATTTAATATGTTTATTTTTAAATTAAAATATTTAATATATTAAAATATAAGTTAACTGTAGAGGTTAATTTATGTATTGAACGGCTATGAAATAGTTACTGCTGTTATTTCCAAGAGTTGGTGGTTCTTATTAAAAAAATATGTTTAAGTGCAATCATGGACTTAGACTGAAAAAATTAGGAGGTAAAAAATAAAAAAAAAGTTAAAGCTTACAATGGTTAAATCAAAGTGAAAAATATTTTACAGCGCAATGAACTCCATCTGTCCTTTATCCATTTAATCAAGTGCACGTCTTATAAAACCTTTTTCCTGACTGTACAGCATTGTTATTAATTTCCACGCGGACCAACGGGTGACTCAAAAAAAATTGAATCTATTTTATTTCGACCATCTGATTCAGTTCTTTAATAAATGCAATTATCATTAAAATTATTTCAAATTATACTATTTAATTAATATATATTATTAATATTTTTGGTTCTCGATGTTTTGATTTAACTCACTTATTTAAATAAATCCTTTTCAATTATGCAAAATAACAATTGAAAAGGAAAAAAATTAGTGGATTTCTATTTATACAGAGCGCACCGTACTTTGTTTCAAGGGAAAAAATTTATATAAATTCTGTTCATATTTCTATTTATGGACTAAATCAATGAAATTCAGTATTTCTATTGAAATGAGATTGTTCCTGATTATCCATTTGAAAAAAAAAATCAGAACAGTTTTAGAAAATTCTTAATTTCATTTGCTTGGTCTATAAGTGGGTCCGGTCTAGACAAATTTTTTTCTTATTTTCAATTCTATCAACTGTTTGAAATCTTTGCAATACATTTTATGCCGTGTTACAAGCCAAATCCAAAAATCAAGGAGTTAAAAGAAGAATTTTTAAAATTTAATCACATCTCACTGTTTTAAAAAGAAAATTTTTCAAAGGAAAAAGTCTCTTTTTACCCCTTAATCTTGGAATAGACATACAAAAAGCCTATAAATAACTTTTAGGTCAAATTTCTCCGTAACTTAGCTTTTTATGATCAAATTGCCCATTTATTTAGATAAAGGACCTGCATGAGCATCACACGGTCAATGAATTTTAAAATATTGAATTTAATTTAATATTTGGTATGTAATTTGCAACAGTAACAAAAGCACAAAAGCTCCAAAGAAAACGAAATCCCTAGTTTCTTTAAATGGAGAACGAAACTCCTAATTGGAGAAGAATATCAAGTTATAGAGCAAGAAAGATGAGTTATGATAGTCGCTATTCGATTTCAGGTACTCCTTGAAGCCACTGTAGTTCGCTATTCGATTTCAGGTACTCTTCGAAGCCATTGTAGTTCACGGAAGAATTCAAGAAGAAGATGTTTTGCTTATAATTCTTGAAGATAAATTCGAATTTGTTTTTAAGAAGGTACCATCTCGATTTATTAAGAGACTAAGCAATTGCCGCTGCTTAATCTATTTATTCTCTAAGACAAACAGATGAACCAGTAGCAATCATTTATTGATTTTTTCAGCCAAGAGATTGCAACCACTTAGAATTACACGATCCTTAGATGGATGAAAGAGCGATAGAAGTGATTGATTAGTCAGTTGAAGTCCCAATTAAATTTTAATACTTTCATTTTATGTCAATGAAGGTCTACAGCTCAATAAAAGTGATGAATATTATTAATTCTATCTCAGAAACCGAGTTGAGAGAATAAGAAAAAAGTATGAGATTTTTTCTTTTGAATAAATGGCTAAGCAAAGGGAACTTATTTGCACTATTGTCATTGTTTATGCAGCCTGGATGATCGAAACGCTACTGTAATGTTTCAACAAATGGACTGATTTGTTGTTTTGTTATTTGCATAGGTCGTTTTGTCGTTTGCATGAAATTGTTGCAAATTTGGATCGAATGGATGTAGTGACAGTGTTGGTTGTAATACAAAAGGAGATGATCCTTGAACTCGGTTTTCATGGAACGTTGGTGTAATTAGGCCTGATGGACGGTTAATTTTTCTTTTTCTGAAAGCTGCAGAGTTTGGAGATTCGGATTCAGATGATATTGAAATAAAAACTCTCTAGATAATATTTTTTTTTCCAAAATATAAATCGGACACAGGAAATAATTAATTCTTTTAAATTATAATAAATTAATAATAAATTAATTAAATTATCTTTTATTTCAAAAATTAATAATTACTTGGGTAGAGCTAAGTTAGCATTTCATTTATCTCAAATCCCTTATGGTCGTGCTCGGTGTTTTCTTCTTTTTCGTCGTTTAGCCTTTTCCAAAGCAAGTTGCAAGAAAATATAATAAAAGGAAAGCGATAGGTTCTAGAACTTTGAAATAATTGTAAATTGTAGCACATCCCAAAAAATGTACATAAAAATAAAAAATATCTTACATGAATGTTGCCAGGGGTAGACGCACGTGGGACCCAAAGCGCCCTGACCCCAATATAATTTTTTTTTCTATTATAGTGTTAAAGAAATTGATAAAAATATTTAATTTACCCATTTCATTAGTCAAAATTATGATTTGACCTCTAATTTTCTGGATCTGCCTGAATGTTGACATAAAATCTCATATTTCTATTGCTGTAATTTTACAAAATATGAGTATTTTTCAGCATATGTATTTTTATTTTGATGTTAGTATTCGAGAACATGTGATGCATATTATTAGTCGTTGAATCTATCCGTTAGAATGTTTTTAATTATAATTATTATATATATAAAAATAGGTGTAAATCACTATCATACATATATAGTATTTGATGAAAAATTTTATTAATTTTTTACAATAGATTTTTTGACAAAATGAAACAGCTATAAAGTTAAAAAATAAATAATAATTTGATCTAAGATCTTGCTATATATAAAAATAAATTGATTAGTCTATTGCCAGAATTTTTCCGATCAAAGAACATATATAAATTATTGGTAATTAAATTCAAAGTTTTTTTGTGATAGTATACCAAATAAAAAAAAAAGATCAAAAGTTAAAATTAGTACCTTAACCATTAATAATAATAAAGTAAAAAAATTTCGATATAGCAATAGCAAAAAAGCTCTTGATAGAAGGATAATAGAGAGTCTTCAATGAATTATTGATAATAAAAGCAAAAAAAAAAAAAAAAAACCCAAAAAAATTTCGATATAGCAATAGCAAAAAAGCTCTTGATAGAAGAATAATAGAGAGTCCCTTCAAATGAATTATTGATAATAAAAGCAAAAAAAAAAAAAAAAAAAAACCCTTGATAGTAGCCAAATAAAATATAGTTATTTGAAAAAAAAAATAAGAATTTAAATTTTAAAATTGAGTCAATAATTTAAATATTTATCCTTTATTATCATAATAAAGATAGATAAATAATAGATATAATATTAAAATCAAAGTATAATAAATTTTTAAACTAAAAATATGCAACAACTTAAAAAAAAAAGAAGCGTTAAATATTAAAAAAATACAATCATGATTTAAATAAAATTTTTAAAAAATTAATAAATTTGTAACAATCATGATTTAAATAATTTTTTTAAAAATTAACAAATTTAAAGTAATTGAAAATTGATCAAGAAATTTATTTAGCAGATTAAGGATAAAATAATTAGTACCATTTAAGAGAATGATAAAACAAAAAGCAGCTAACAATATTAACAAAGCATTTAATCATTTTTAGATTTTCAATATAAAATAGTTAAGTTCTTTTGCAATAAAATTATAAATATAATTGATTTAATATTGAATTCAATCAAAACTTCTACAATAGGATTTTCATTCCTAATTAAGATTGGATAAAAATTTTCAGTTACAATTTCTAATATATATTTGATTTAATATTAATAAAACATACACACACACACACACATATATATATATATATATATATATATATATATATATAGTTTTATTTAATTAATTTATTATTATTAGGAATCTTATATTTTGATTAAGTTTAAAATTATATTTTGTATTAATTTATATTATTTAATATTAACTAATATTTTGGCATATATTAAATTTTCAAGATAATACAAATTTCAATAAAGTTGAGAACAAACTATATTCACAAAAGTCAAATTATATTTTAATTCCCTACTTTTTTCGAACTAATGAATTTATAATTCAAAATTAAAATTCTTAAAGTTTTATATTCTTACGCATATATATCTATAATAAATAAAATCTGATTTATTTTTAATCCAATTAGAATTTTTATATTAAATAGAAAATTTTAATATTCCTTAATAATTATATTAATTTTAATTTTTCAACAATAAAATTTAAAATTCAACCAATAAAATTAAAATTTTTAAAGTTTACGTATATATCATATAATTTATTATTTTATTCAATAGAATTTATATTTAAATAGAAATTTAAAATCCTTAATAATTAATTTTATCTTTATTTTTCTACCAATAAAATTAAAATCTTTAATTATTTCCTATTTAGAATTAGATTAAACTTCTTGTAGTTGCTAGAACATACTTAATAAATATAAATAAAAATTATTCTATTAATTTGTAAATATAGAAAATTAAGATTATACTTAACGCAAGAAGAAAATATAACTATAAACTCAATGATTTCAAATTAATAAAGCTTGATGTAATAATTCTTGATAGTCAAAAACAACAAATTCGTAATAGTCAAGAGTAATAAATTCTTGTTAGTCAAAACTGAAAAGCAATTAAAACCAAATATATATATGGTGGTATGATAAGACAAAATCCTAATTAGAATAGTATTAAAGGATAAATTCTTAATTAGAGTGGGATTAAATTTA